CAGAAATAATCATACGGGCAAAATCTATCATCGAATTATTACCCCGTTTTTAAGAATGTGTCATAAATATGATGCGCCTTTCCTTCTATTTTGTGGGAATGTTTGAAGCCAGATTTATTACAACAAATTAAATGACTTTCATATAGGAGCTGAAGGAGGCTACGTTATAAATGATTTATTAATGCAACACAATATCTGTAAATAACGTGCACCTAATAAAACAACACGGGATTGTTTTTTTAACTGCAGTTTCACGGCCAAACATTTAATTGCATGCAAGTAAAATTAATGTGCTCTTAGATTTACCTGAAAACACAGTGGTAACACTGGCTGCTTGTATTGACTAAAGCCGTAATAAGGAGTATTTGATTTTAAGCACCCGAAAGCACACGAATGAACAATTGTGTTTTTTTTTATCATCGTACGTTTAAAATAATACCCATAGTGATAAAACATGACACAACACATGCACTCACTCACTCACTCGATGCTGATAGCAATAGCCCTTTAACGCAAAGTGGCCCTGATGTCACGGCCACCCTTGTGCCGAATTTGGAGACCACGTGAAGTGGCGAATGCTCACTGGCAGAAGGTCACGTGGCAGACACAGATGTTACGAGTTAACCGGGATTAGTCACACTCCCCACAGCATCACCGCCTTGCTGTGTTTCTGTCGCCCGACGCTCCGATCGTTATTGTGCGCATCGCTCCACCACTTCCCATCGCTGCCAGTTATCCAGCAGCATCTTTTAATTGGCCTCCTCCACAGAGAGGCAGACCTCGTCACCGCCGGTACCAGTCATCAGGAAATCCACTCGCCTTCTCCTGGTTCACATCTGCCCATCTCTTCTGTAACCTGCGCCATTCCCAACCTGCATAGCTCCACCTATCCAGCCAAAGAGGACGCGGACACGAACACGCGTGTACACGTGCTAACATGAAAAACCCCTTGCTTGAACTAGTAGCCTCACTCACTCGGAGAGGCCACACCATTTGAGTTTTTGTCAAACTTCAGACTTTTTTTTAATAAAATGCATGCTCCCTGTGTGGCACAATGGTCTAAATGTCACTGAATAATCTAAATGTCATAGTTTAGGAGTGCTGGTCAGATAACAGCCCCACACCTGCAATGCCTAGCGAGCCATAGTGGTCTCCTGTAAATGTACTAACCAGGCTTGAACCGGAGCTTCCGAAGAATCCTCTTGTGATCCGATTTTGTTGCCCGACACAGCAGGCATGGGTTTGATAAACATGCAACAACAGTTCGGAATGCAGCACTCCATATATATTATTTACAGTTTTATATGTTGATGTATTGTTTATTTCAGTGCAATTAATTTGTCATAATTTGTAAACATTGCATATTGTAAAAAAACACTTTTATTTTAAAAAATGTTTACAGGTAAAATGTTCAGCGCCAAGGTTGGTGCAATGAAAATGCCTCTATAAATTGTAATTATATCATTGCCATTCCACTGCCATTGTGTGATGGATCATAGCCACACTATAAAAATGCGGCATTAACACAAGGGAAAAGTAATAGTATGCTGCTGCAGTATTAATGTTTTAATGCAGGATTGTGCTTTTCTGCATACACATGTAAAAATATATGAACGTAATTTTATTTATGCGGTAACATTACAGGGCCCTGTTTATGTGACACGTGATAATGCGATCGGCAGTGTTTCCAGAGTCCAGACTTGATTGCCAGAAAAATCATATTCCTGTGGATATAATTAAACCTTGGCCTTTTTACATTACTATTGAAATTGGCTCTCAAAGACGAACACCCATGTAAGCATTGCCGCACTCTGCAATTGCATTTTAGCTTCACCTAACGTGGAAAAAAATTGTGAGTGTGTGGCGCGTGATGTGCGTGCGTGCTGATGAGATTCAACAGATCGACCTGTGCATGTCTGTGCTCTCAGGTCCGAGCCAAACACCTACAATGTGTGTGTGCCTGCAAATATGTTAGCTTGTGTACGTGTATGAGCATACACGTACATTTACACATGCATGTGGATACATATGTGCTCGTGTTTGGACTTGTATGTGCGTGGACATGGGGGAGCGATAGTGTAGTAGCGGATAGCGTGGTGCACTACGAACCTGGCTACCCAAATTTGATTTACGCTCACGGCCAACACCAGTAACGATTATCTGAATAGGCCCTGGGCCTCCCCTTGGTCGACTCAGTCTCAAATGAGTACCTGGTGCAGTATGTAAACATTGCTACAGGGGAGACAAAGGCGGTCGGGCGTGGTGCTGCCCACCCACCCGCTCGTGTTTAAAAACGTGCAATTAGAGTAATTGGCTGCTATACATTTCCACATGATAAGCCACTTCGTTGAGCTATCATTTGTGGCCAAGTCACTTCTGAAAAAATAACGAACTCAGTGGGCCTTACCTCTTAAAATTAAAATATTTATATAGTTCCGTGTACCGTTCCAGCCTTCATAGGTGCTCGCATAATTAGCACTTGCCCCCAACAGTCTATTAAAGGCTGTAGGGGGATATTTGTCTTTGCTAAAACAAACCGGACTGAACCGCCGTTCCTTCTGCATACGATGTAGCGATTAGCCGTGTGAATCGTATGTGTGAGTCAGCCACTATATTCATTTGTGGTGGCCACGCATTTATAAAGCAGATGTGGGGAATGCATATTTGTGCGTGCGTGTGTGTGCGCTTGCTGATGTGTGTCTGTTAATGAAACATATGGTAATCTTAGTGGGGGGGGGGGGGGGAAACACAAATATGATTAAGAAGAATGATATTGTTTACATCCACATTCATTTTCTTGGAATGGCCACCAGCACGGCGCTACGCAAATGTGTACCCAGCAGAGCCTGTAGTGCCTCTGTAGTGATAAGTATGACTTTACATCATCCATTAGCCCACTGTGAAGGACAGGCGAATAAAAACATCCATTCTCAAAAGACGCACCACGTGGACTCTCGATGGTCTTTGAAAAAGCACGCAGGTAGCAACGCTACGGTGCTTATCAGTTTTGCTGTGCCGAGGCTGGCTTTTGCCATAGGAATGTTGCATTTTCCACTGCTGGTTAAGGGCTGCGAGTGACATTGACCACGATCCCTTTTCTCGTTTTTAATCAAGGAGTCACTCGGACACGTTTCTTAATGTGTGTGTGTATACTGTAATTATAATCGAGCGGTTAATTAGTGAGCGATGATTATCACTCACTGATTATTGGTGCGGCGATCATGATCGATCATGATCGCCGCACCAATAAAGCAGAGTCTGTCAATTATCGCACGAGGTGACATTTCGTGGGAATGCTCCTTGCCATCACCACCGCCACCACGGCCACCAGCATGACCACTGCCACAAATCGCCATCACTGCCACCACCGCTGCCAGCACCACCGCCACTGCTACCACCGCCACTGCCACCAGTGGCAAGCAAAGCCTTGTCCACACTCCCAGCGCTCCGTGCGGGACGTCCACTGACGCCGTGCCACCGCGAGCATCATCAGGTCGGCATCGTCCCGCTGAGAGAGCGCCAGCGCGAAGGGCCGGAGCGCGGCGGGGGGAGGGGGGGGCCGTCGTGCGCGGCACCACCGGAGGGACCCTCGGCACTTAGCGCTTGAGACCGCTACGGGGCACACTGTCGTATATTTTAAAGTGGAAACTAATCTAATCAGCGCAACATTGAGCGGTTTTATTAATAGTGTATTAGTCTATTTTCCAATGAGAAGGGTTGTCCCCCTGATCTGACATAAACTGGATGGTGATTGCATTGTTGAAGCCGCGGTTCGTGTTATTGAAACGAGCCGCTTCACCCCGCGACCCGCGATCAGGCCATTGTGTCCGTGCGTCATAGCCCCGCGCCTGGCACATTAAAATTGCCCGTAATTAAACTGCAGATTTTTAATAAACCCTTGCCAACTAGAAAATTAATCTCAGCAGGCTCTGAACTTGGTTAATAAATTACATGTAATTTAACCGACGAGTGCGGGGGAGCTGTACGTGTGTATTTGTTATTGTGTATTTGTTAGTGTATTTGTTATTGTTGTTGTGTATTTCACTTTGTGTATTTGTTGTTGTGTATATCACTTTGTGTATTTGTTATTGTGTATTTGTTATTGTGTATTTCACTTTGTGTATTTGTTATTGTGTATTTGTTATTGTGTATTTCACGTTGTGTATTTGTTATTGTGTATTTGTTATTGTGTCTTTCACTTTGTTTATTTGTTATTGTGTATTTCACTTTGTGTTAGGCTGCGGCGGAGCGGCGGCGTGGTCGTTAGCGCACCGCACCACGAACCTGAGTTCAATTCCCGAAACGTTGCCGCTTTCGGTCAATTGACGCAATGACAAATGGGTTCATTTCCATTTTTCATTAACCTGTTCATCATCATGATCAGCCATGGTCTTATCCACTGCTATCACATTCCCACGAGTACAATCCGTCTGACTCCTGTGCAACGAGCCAATCTTATCACCCCGTCCTGCGTTGAATGTCTCCTTGGGCACGCTACCTCCTTTGGCTGCCACTCCGTCGTGAGTCTCGACCACCGAGGCCATTGCACCGTCACGCGACTCGTTCGGCTCAAGCCTGCCTGCTTCTCTTTCACGGGCAATGCGATGCGCTCAACTCGCGTACGCTGTGCATGTTGGTGAGCGTGTGGCACTACGCGTGTATGCCTGCGTAGGTGGATACATTTGTCTTTGGAGGTGGGGAGCAGTGGCGTAGTGGCTAACACACTGCGCTTTATGAGCCCGGCCACCCAATCTCGGTTGCCACATCGGTGGTGAACATCTGACCAGTCCTCAGTAGACCCAGCTTTAAATTACTACCTGGTGTGGTGTGCAAACATCACTATTGGTGAGGCAAAGGTGGCCGCGTATGGTATTGACCGCTCACCTCATCGTGTGCCGTGCCGGCCTTCGTAGGTGATTCTGGTTGACAGCACTTGCCCCAACGCTCCGTTAAATGCTACATGCTGGATCTTTGTCTTGTGTGCATGCGTGCGTGCATAGGTGGAGATGGCTGGCAGCAGCGCGTTTGAGTACGTGCACCCCGCGGACCGCGGGGAGCTTGCGGAGCAGCTGGGCATGAAGCTGCCGTCTGGGCCCGGCACCCCCTCGCAGAGCGCCCTGGGGGCCGCGGAGGACGCGGCCAGCACGGCCTCCTCCTCCTCGCAGGCCGACGGCCTCGACCCAGGTGGGGATGCCTCTTATCGCAGCAGCAGCAACAGCAGCAGCAGCAGCGCAAGGGGGGCCCTCTAGCACACCTTGTAATGCCGGCACCAAGACGAGCCGCTGCATTTAGAAGGAGCAGGATGGGAAAATGAAACGAACGGGGATTGCACTGCCACTCAGGTTGTACCGGTCGCGCTGACGTACAGGTCTCCGATGTTTTTTTTTTGGGTCATGCCGCGCGTCGTTCGGCACGATGTCCAACTTTTCTCTCCAAGTGCCGGGAGCGTTCGTCCGCGAGCTGAATTCTTCCGACTTCCGTTCGCGATGTTCAACATTTTACTTGAAGATTTTATTTTTTTCAGGAACTGAAGTCGAATGGAAATCGGCTTAGTTCCTGCAGAAGCTCCCAGCACGTGGAGCAAAACGTCGGACATCGGGCAGAAACGACGCGCATCGCAACCCAAACGTACACCGGACAGCAAATAGCGGTTGTGTTTCATGGCTCCCTTGTGCCGTGGGCAAACGAGACATGCAGCGCTTATGAATGCATAGCAAGCCAGTTAACGCAGAGGGCTATCTACGGTTCGAACGGAAGTTCCACCTATACACATGCAAACATATGGCCGCGCAAAAAAAAAACCCAGCAAAGACCCCAAACAGTGCCGTAAATAAATACTTAAATTCCCTCATTAAATGACAAATCAGGAAATCTTTGGGTTTGCGAACTGCGAACCTCGACATTCAGGGGCGAGCAGCTGTCCTTCCACCACCTGACTCAGTCACTTGACTCTTGTTTGCTGACCATTCTACTTAAAGCGATGTTATTTACAAAACAAACACCTTACCTTGGCAGTTTTAAAGCGTTTTTTTACGTTTTTGTCAAGACCGCACGTACACAGACCGTAGTAGTTACACAGTACGTACAGTGCATCGCAGCTGCTATTTTGGATCGCCGTTCCCAAAATGATGGCGAGACATTTATGAAAACGCATCAAGGCTACATGTCCGCTGCATATCCCAACAACTAGCTGTTAATTGAAAGCAAACCACATCGCAAGGCTATTTTAAAAAAAAACACATTAGTATGGCACACGCCTACGTGAAAAGCTTCCATGGAAATCGCCAGAAATTGACCTTTTGTTCCGGTCATCGCTCGCTCCGTTCGTAAGGACGGCGGCGTCACGATCAGCGAGGGCTCGCGCTGCTGTCCGCCTGCCGTGGGCAGGTAACGAAGTCAAATTTGATAATCGCCGTGGCTCTTTGGCAGACAAACCCCCACCCACCGTTGCTCTGCCGTCCAGCGACTTCTGGCTGTCAGAGCTGATCGTTCTTTTCCAATTTAGCAAAAGGTGCCAGCTTATGAAGGTCAGCCAAGCCAAGGTTTCTCTGATTACGAGGCTCAGGGGCAGTATTTTAAGATATAACTAGTCCTGCCTTACCGTTTTATCGGTTTCATTTGCATATAAATTAATCGGCCTTTTTTTTTTCTCCCCCCTTCTCCCAATTAGAACGTGTCTGCATATAATCCTGGCATTAATTTAGGCAATTACGTTAAAATGCAGGTGACCGTTAACAATCGTGGGCGAGCGTGCTTGCCGTTTGGATCCCGTGCAAAGACGGCGCATTCAAATGGCTTAATCGGCATTAAAAGTTGGGATTAGTTTATTACGGTCTCAGCCATTTCAATAACGTTCCGGCTTGGGAGCGCCGCGCGACGCGCCGTAGTAATGGTTCTCGCGTTGGCATTCGCACCCCCCCCCCCCCAAAATTAGAAGAGCAAGATAATGAAATAAACACTCCGCCCCGGGAAAATGCCGAGTATTTTTCCGTGTCGTTTTAATTCGAATGGGATATTGTTTACGGAAAAGCCCGTGTCCGTGTGCACCGGTGCCCCGCGGGTTCAACCTTTCCCACCCGCGATCCCTGCCGCGGAAATGTCATTACTCGGCGCTCATTGTGCCATCAGCATTTTGATCGTCACGGAAGCGTGCTGGAAGTAAACCGACACACAGAAGAGAAACAGTCAAAGGTCTTTTCTTTGTTGGAGCGCCTTTTCCAGGATGTGCATGGAAATAAAAACAATGTTTGCAATATCGTCACTTTATTAATTTTTCTAACGAGGGTTTCTGAATCGCACAAGAATTTAATTTGTTGTCATGTGGACGTTGTTTTATATTAATACGTACAAGAGTTGATGAAAATTTTATTTTTCAACATGCCGCTTTATTATTTTCATTTCAAACAATTTTATGGGAGGTCTCTCCATCTCGACTGCTGCTCCTGAGGGTCTGGAATTCCGCTTGAACTTGGTGTGGTTTGAAACTCTGCTGCTGTCCTTATTAAAGTCAGCACTTGAGACCCCATTTGTGTTCACGTGCATCTGAAGATGCAGTTGCAGTTAGACGCTATTTAAATGTAGATTGTGTTGCATTGTAACTTTTGGAAGTTGCACTTTATCTGCGTCGCAATTTAATCACGAATGAATAAATAAACGTCCACGCGAGGTAGAGCATGCCTCATAATCGGTGTGCCGTGTGTACGCCTAAGTAACCACCTCTGATTGGATGCCACCTCGGCTTGATGACGAGAAACCAAACAAAACACAAATTAAAAAAAAAATCCGTCACAGACTCTTGAGAATGCAGCATGGGAAGGAGTCCATTGGAAAATGTTACCAAAGTACCGCAGTTCTTGCAAAGTGGCTCACAGAATACACGTGGTTTTCTTTCTGCCGCTAGAAAAAACTAATAGGTGTACGCCTCTTGCCCCAACAGAGCTGAGCAGTCCGCCTCTGATAAATGTGAGCGAAGGGTTGGATCGCTCCTTCTTCATCCGCATGAAATCCACGCTCACGAAGCGAGGCCTGCACGTCAAGTCGTCCGGCTACAAGGTCAGTCTCGGAATCGAGCGCCGAGAGTGCAGGCAACGTCACTGCACCGGGGCCCGTGGGCCTTCGGGGTCCAGGCAGCGGCCTACGAAGAAGGGGTAGAAGCTGGACTGGTGGGGGTGGGGGTGGGGGGGGGGTCTATTTCATTCGAGCACAGGCGTCTGAGAGAGAGAACTTTGTGGCAAAACAGAATTCACAGTGCAGAAGGTCTGGAAGAGAACATGGCAGGTGAGTGTTGTGGATGGGATTCGGCAAAATCTATTCTACTGGGTGGGACACTTATGCAGGACCGAGGAGACCGGCAGTGGAATACAGTTTCTGCGAGTTTCGTGCCCAAGGTGGAAGAACTAAGAGCTGACGGTGGGATGCGGTTAGGGTTAGATCTTGGTGGTGGCAGCGAGCGTGGCGAGGCTTGGTGGCATCGCCTGCTTTGGCCATGACGACGTCGTGGCGACCTTGATCTTGACCAGAGCCCGTGCTGGCCACGCTCGGCCGCTCCCCGCTGAAGGAACTTCTCAACGAGTTCTCAGCTCCTTCTCATTTCCAGCCCTACCCCGTGGAATTAGTTACCACACCGTGTACTGGTGGCATCGCTTAATTTGAAACAGCCTTAATAATTGCCACTCTGCTGCTTGACACTGCGCAGAGTGGATGGTGAGGCGATTGCTTAATGAGCCATGTTGGAGCAACTTATTCAGTCGTTGAAATGTAATTTAATTCGGCGTAACGCTGCATTTTCTCTCGACGCTATTCAATTACGCTTCTTAAGCGAGTTGTACTTCTTTGTGCGGCTCTGGAGGCGCGTGTGGCCGCACACTGGCGACCTGTCAGACCCGGGCGTGACCTGGCAGGTGCCCAGCATGGCAGAGGCCGACCTTCCTCGGTCCGCGGTCACTTTGCCGGGAATGTCTTCTATACGGAGTTTTTACGACACACACGCACGCCGTTCTGCTGAAAGTTGAATGCAAAGCACGGCTTTGTATGTATTGATGCGTTTGTAATAGCTGTTGGGTGGACGGGTGGGTTTGGGTGGTTGGATTTTGGTGGGTGAGTTTTGGTGGGTGGGTTGGTGGCAGTAGTCAGCGGCTCTCAGAAGTGAGAGCTTGGCGTTCCCTTCACCCAGCGCTCGTGATGGCAGGCGGCACGATCATTATAACTTTGTCCACCATTCAGTCCTCTCTGCTTTGTCACATTTGTGTTTGCTTTGTTTAGTTCGTTCTTCAATACTGCCTGCTGCATTAGTTGAGTTTGGGTTTATTCTCTTTTAACTTTTTTCACTTTATTTGCTTAGACGTTTTATCCATTTTGCGCTCGATCGCAATGTTTCTCCTGTGCCTTAGCTGTCGTTTACTCATAATTGTTTTCCGAATAACCTTTGTTATTCAAAATCCTTCCACTTACCAGCCGTCCGTCTACTAGTATTTTGCAGGTCATTCATCCTGACGCAGACTCAAGTGCGGCTTACAATTGCCAGGTGATAAAGGCGGCATAGTTCCTCACAAGGCTTGGGCAGGGCATAATTTCTCCACCCTCAATAGCAAGGGGAGGGGCGGTGGCAGCAGTGAACTATTTTCCAGAGCTCAGCCCTCGACAGCTCAGGCTGAACTTAAGCCCTGGGCTTGAAACTTGAGCTTATTTTTAACGTGAAGTTTGCTACTACCCTGTTCTCAGGATAATAACAGTCACTTCACCTCCCATGTTCTAAAGTTTTCTTTTTTTTATTTAACCAGGTGAGAAAGTAAAAGTTTTGGGTTATATCTTATGACCCAGTGTGTGTGTGTGAGACCAGATCAGTGTAACTTTATTGACACCAGGCACAGGCATGGGGGTGGGTCCTACTTTCCGGGGCGTTCAATAATCCGTGGAATTGGGTAACAATCGGAGTTTGCGTTGCCAGGCGTGAGCGCACTCAGTGTAGAGGGTCGACGGCAGTCAGCGCGTGGATAGCGGCCAAGAGGCCCTTACCTGCCAAGTGGCTCAGCTCTGCCCGTGGGTCCCAGATGAGCCGCACAAACGATTGGCCAGCGCGATCCTGGAACATTAAATCCTGCGGAAAGTCCATCGGCCAAAAAGTTTTTCAACTTTTATTCTGCCCTCTCGGCACTACTTTCAATTTCTCTACATTTTTTCTTTTGCCAACTGCTGGTCCACCAGTGACCATGCCAAAATAACGCCCAATTATCTGCCTCTGCCAACAAATAACTCGCGTGTACTTTGTGTACAGAGAATGCATCACCTGCACGCGCGTGTGTGTGTGTTGATGTTTACTTTTTGATCGAGGTTGATATCACGAAGCAGCCAAAATAACTGAGCTTTGACATGTTAATGAATCGGCAAATCCATTCTGGTGCTGCCTATCCACTGTACGATTTGAAATAGCTCCATGCAAGATGAAAGCCCCCGTTTCAAATCCATACACCGCATAGATATGTGCCATCAAGGCATTGTGGAAAGAAGTGGTGCTGGGGGGGGGGGTGAACGAGGGGAGCCGTTGACACCCGACACACTCCCCACTCACTTAAAGTACGCGAGTACGATTCGGAACGAACGGGTCGGTGACGAGGCGAGCGTTGTCGCGTGCACGCCCAGGTGATCCACGTGGTGGGGCGGCTCAGGGTTCGAGCGGCCTCCTCCTCGGCCGGCGGGACCTCGTTGGGGCTGGCGGGGGACGACGGTGGCGCCTCGGTCCAGCTCCTGGGCCTGGTGGCCCTGGCGCACGCTCTGCCGCCTCCCACCCTGAGCGAGATTCGCATCGACTGCCACATGTTCGTGACGCGCGTCTCCCTCGAGCTGCGCATCCTCTACTGCGAGAACAGGTGGGGGAGCGAGGGCGACGTGAAACACTATGGAAATTTGTGTTTTTTATTTACCAGGTAAGGGCCCACTGAGCTATACAGATATTTTTCAGGAGCAACCTGGCCACTAGTTATAGCTCAACAAAAACGGCTTATCACGTGGAAATTTATAGCAGGAGCCAAATGCTCTAAACGCATGCCGATTCTAAATGTGGAGGGAAAAACCGGAAGGCATGGAGAAGAATCCATACGACCACAGGGTAGAGAAACATGCAAACTCAGGCGTTGAGGGTCGCGATCGAACCCACAACCTCCTGTATACCAGGCGAGGGAGTTAACATCTCGTCACCGCGGCGCCCGAGTCCCTGTGTCTGCCGTTGCCACGGGCAATGGAAATCAGACCAAAGTTGTGCCGGGCTGTGCCAGGAACGGGCCGGTACGGCTCGATTGTCGTGTCAAGGCTTCGTGGCCTTTGACCCTCCCCTCCCATCGCCCCCTTCATCCCCTGCTTGCCTTGTGGGACCAAAACTCACCTATCTCATATATATGTTTTCCATTCGTGGTAGTTTTATTGACAAAAGTGTCGAGTTTTTGTTATCTTTGTTTGTGTACCACTGCCAAAGCAGTATCACAAGCACATGAACAAAATTCAGATTTTTTTTTGTTAAACACGGTTGAATGCATGCTTGGGTTCGCTTACATGATTCAAAGTTAAAATCTTGCCTTTTTAACTTTTCGGCTGGGATGCCTTTGACGACGTATCCTGTTTCCACGTTGACGTAATGACGTAACGACTGTTCCCGAGGGTGGTCGACTAAAAGCGTGTAGCTCCCTTGCCAAGGCAGGCTACAATGACCTAGTCGGAGCCGCCTAGCTGCCGTGAGGATTCGGGCTGGGCCCACTTTCCCTGTTCGGGAAACAGGCCACCCGAATGGCTGTGGAACTCATCACGAGCATGGGTAGGGTTCGCGTACAAAAACCAGAGATGGGGCTTGGGTCATGGATAAGGCTCAGTGTGCTCGATGCTAAGTAGCTCATTTGTTAGGGTGAGTGGCAGCGCTAGGATCTGATTGGCTGGCTTGCTCTGCCCTCTGTTTGCAATGCTCCCCAACCGCCAATAATGGTCTTTTCACTTTGTCTCTGTGAGCGGTTGCATAAAACACAGTTGTGTTGAGTCATTTTTTTTTTCTTCCTGTAAATTAATGGGACATTCAAAAAAAGAAGATCTCTTATTGGAATACAAATGAGCCATCCGTATGTTACGCGTGATGCACACAGAATCTATTTGGTCATTTGAATCTCACTATGCCGCGCAGAAAACGCTTTGGCAATCATCAGGCATGTGCGGCTGGTAACTGCTTCACTTGTATGTGAACGGAGGTAAATTGATAAATTGGCGCACCGTGGTGGGCCGTGAGGACTGGAGTTTGAGAACCCTGCCTGAGCCCACCGATCGCTGTCAACAGTTAATAATTTTTTTGCGGACCATTGTGCACCAGTGTTGATGTGTTATATAATTGTTGCTAATGCTGTGGATGTTAGTGATATGTCGTATTATGGTTGTTGTTGTTGATGTTGTGGTTGAAAGTAGGTCAGCCAGCGAGTATCGTTGTTAAACGAATCCTAAGAAATCCATAAGCTTGCAATTAACTTAAGTTTTATCCCACGCAAATGCATGAGGCAGTGCTCGTAACATATATTTCAAAATTAAAACTACTCTAAAAGTGCAGTAAAATGTTAATTAGCCTTAAAAACCTACTTTCTTTTCATTGGCTCAAATAAAATAAAACAGTTGCGCAATGGCCAGTAAATATATGGCATATCGTGAAAAAGAAGAAAAAAAGCGGCAGTTTCTGCGACAGTTCCACAGAGAACCTACCCACGGCCTTGCGGGGGGCACCAGCAGCGCTCGGTTAAGAAACACTGCTCTAGACGATGTCCACCTCTGTCCTACGTTGATTCGTTGGCCGTTGCGTGTGATCGCTCTAGATGATGTGCCTTGCATGCTGCCCCATGCAGAGTGAGCGACTATCTAGACTTCGCCGCGGAGGAGCTGGTGGGGAAGAGCTGCTACCACTTCATTCACCCGGGGGACGTGGAGGGCATTCGGCTGAGCCACCTCGACTGTGAGTGCATCCGCCCGCCGTCCCGCCTGCGTGGACTCGCCCGCCCGCTCACCCGCTCAGCCCGCTCGCCTTTATCTCTCACAGATACGTCGCCCGTGAGAGTCGCGCGAGGTCGACGTTCGCCGGGAGTGCTGCGTCGGCCTGCGCACTCAACTGTCAATTTAACTTGAAGTGCAAGTGCGGCTGCCTGGCTGGGTTGGGCTGCAGCCATTTATGGGCAGTGGTCGCGTGGCAAAACAGTTGAGAGCAGAAACGTTCAACATGCGACCTACCCTGGAAAGCTGCACTTGGATAAAAAAAAATAGTTTACTGCTTCATCAGAAGGAGATTGATGATGGAGATAAAAATGGCAATGATGATTATGCGAATTATGGTGATTGATAGTGCTTGATGATGGTGATGGTGGTGATGATGGTGGTTATTATTAAGTGCATTGGTTATCTCTGTTGACTCCATAAAAAGGTATTTCCCAAACAGCCCAATGCAGGGCCTTGCCGATAGAGAGTCTCGAGAACGAGTGCGGCTTTCCTGGATAAATAGATTGCAGTTGAAGCAGTCTAGCAGCAGCACTGAGCGGTCTCGTGGTAGTAATCTGTACACAGCAATAAGTGCTGTGTTGATCTGGTGAAAGTGTGCATGGCTCTGATAGAAGTGACTTTGGTTTGATCTCCCCGTTTTCTATCGTCAGTCCACATATTCCAATTTTCAGGGCATCCCTAGGAAGAGCTTTGCACCTTCCTGCCCCATCTGCTTCCTTGCGGACGTTAATCTCTCCACGATGCCTCCTTCTAAAGTAGGGCACCGTGTGCCGCTACTGTTGCCAAAACGCACTCGTGCCACTTCTAAGCCGCAATGAAAACAAGATCGTTTGTAGTGCCGCAGACGAGTAAACGCTTAAACACAAGCTTCATGAAAATAGATTTTCTGTCAAGGCAAGGGTCGTTGGATAATTTCTGAGCGTGACCGTTTATTTTATTTGACCATCGGCCGCTGGCAGTGGTGGCATCGCTGTGAATTTGGCAGTCGGAGCACGAGCGAACATTTGACCACGGTCGGGGTCTCTGTGGGTGTGGGTTTGGGCGCTGTAAATTCACGATGCATTCGGGCTTACGGACCCAGAATTCTTGCCAAAATGCCCAACACTTCGGCGAATTGCAATTGCGACGTGGGCATCCGAGACATCGACACGTGCCCGCATCGCGCCCCGCATACACTGCAGCGTTCTCAGAAATCCCTTCATTTTGGCAGTGGGAAAATGCACTTTTGGTTTATCATCCAACCATCAGACAAGGATTTGCGGCGAGTTATTTATTTATTTGTGCACAGGAGTTGTGGTGGTGGGATTCACGTCGGGAATTTCGAAGTCATTAAAATTTTGAGAATCTTGTTACCCTGAGGTCGGTTGGGGGGGGGGGGCGACCGCTGGTAGAGGACGCCCCTTGGGGACTCCGGAGATGCGAGGGTCACCGGAGAGCCGAACGACTCTGCGTGCCCGGCGTGGCAGAGCTGTTAGGAACCGCGCCACATGCTGCAGACATCTCCGCCGAGCGCTGGCAACGGGCAGGGCTTGGCCACTTTCGCCCGTCGGCTCTCGCGCAGTTTCAGTCCCAGAATTCCCTGCCCTGTCGCGTTGCGCGGCACGGTCTCACAGTAAATACGCAGGTGGCAGCGATGATGCTGGGTATCGGCGTTTTTTTTCACATTAACTGGTTGTTTCGCCCTAACTAGTTGTTTTGCTATAACCCAGTTGTTTAGCACTAACTATTTTTTTCCATCAAAAGAAATGTGGTGACGGTTTTTGGGCAGCAGTAGACTTCGTATAAGTATTCTCAATTTAGAAAATTACAACATTTTCATAAGTATTCAATTTTCTATGTAGGCGTCTGCCATCTGAATTTTCAGTGCGGCTCAATCTGTTTTTTTTTCTCCTCGGTGAAAATGTTCTGTTTATACAGAACTCGGCCGTTTGTTTCCTATTAGCATGACGCAATGGCCAATCACTTCTCACTGATTACAATAAATTGCTCAAATAGGTTTTTCGGTTTATGCAGAAATGTGTTGCAATGGGGCTTTCAAAACGGGGTGTCCAATTTGCATTCTATTAACGGATGGTCCTTGACCAGGGCGACGTTACAGGTCAGGGAGCCGCTCCCAAAGCAGACATTACTCGCGACTGCGCCTACGATGGCGCTGTTTTTCAGGGCGTTTGTGACACGGGATGCGATCTTTTTGGGGATAAATTACTTCCAAAGTTTGCGCTGCATATTTTCCCCACGCAACTTATTAAGCAATAAATAATGCAGAACAAGGTTTATTTCTATTCTGGGGTGAAGGAATGGAAGCAAGTTTTTGCTCAACAGAACTTAATAGCAGGAAGGAAATCTTTTCAAATTACCTTGAGCCTGAACGCTGTAAGATTTAATATTAATTGCAAAGAAGCGGCGAGAATTTTCTCCGAATACCCAAGGACTTGGTGCATCTCCCCATGGGCACGAGCGACTGGCTGGTTTTCTGTAAAGCAATCGCCACTAAATGATGTGACAGTTTAATTACTCCGCTTGCCATTTCCCTGCCAGAGCAGCTAATAGAAGCCATGGTGATAGCAGTGCTGAGTTTGTGTGTGGGTTTCAAAGAGACGAAAAAAAATTGGAGTAGAGGAAAAACTCAATTCTCTCCACCGCCCCCCCCCCCCCTCTCTCTCTTCCAACACAAATTGTTACATGTGATTACTCTTTTTCGTGTGAAATCAATTACAGGCCAGCCATATTGCTGAGCAGCTTGATAACTCTGTTTCTACTTAGGAAGGAGTAAAACATATACGTGTGGCATATAAACAGTTTTTGTTAAAATATATTTTGAAATGTAATGTTCCAGGCAACTTTGACTCTTGTTTTGTTTGTAGTCAGCATTGTCAACCGTTAGATAAAGCCAAACTTACCGCCTAATCCAAAGCGGGCGCTTTGGTCGTGCCGCCCAATCGCATAGCATAACAAGAAGTCTGCCTAGCCAATGAAAACGGAGTTTGTTGAGAGTGTGTGTGATAAACAATGATTGTCCTACAGGGCACACATCCTCGGGTAGTCATGTGACCTCTGCCTGTAAGCGGATTGGAAGTTGCCCTCGTAGTTGCCCATTAAGGGGATCAGCGATGGACAAGTTAATTTTTAGAGTAATTTTTTTTTAGTCTCTATTGCAAAAAATGCAATAACAAATGTTCCGGCAACCGTTGCAAGTGGGCGATTACCAGCAATGATTACCCGAGAGCTTATCTAGTGCATAGTTCTGCAACTATATTTCCCAGTGGGTCACAATAAAATTGGCCGTGTGACACGTCACGTCGTCCCATGGCGTCGTGACGTCATAATGCCTGTAGATGTGGCGGCGAATCTCTACCCCTTTCCCCCAACTCTCTCATGTCTCTCTCTCATTGCGATCTCCCTGTCACCTCACCAATCTCTATCTCTACGCTTCGGTGGGCCCCTAGCTCCGCGGGGCCGCTCTTAAGCTCCTTCACGGGCCTTACCGGGGCCCACAGGGCCGCCAGTTGACGAAGAAGCCTGAAGTCCCCTCGTCCATCGTTGGCCTGGGGCACCTGCACTGCCCCCCCCCTCGCGCCACCGCGGCCCTCCAGCACCGACAACGACGCGGGGCGCGTGCCGGGGGGGGGGGGGGGGGTGGGGGTCCCGCGCGGCGCTCAGTGGCGGCGCTCATCAGCGGCGCTCGTGTTGTGCCCCGCAGTGCTCAACAAGGGCCAGTGCGTGACGCGTTACGTACGCTGGCTGCAGAAGGGCGGCGGCTACGTGTGGGTGCAGTCGAGCGCCACCGTCAACATCAACACCAAGAACGCCAACGAGAAGACCGTCATCTGGATCAGCTACATCCTCAGGTGCGCGGCCTTTTTGATGTCCGCATGCTGGTAAACGTTACTCCCGACCCGGAACAATGACGGAGCAGCCGCAGGGCAATGGAGCGTGCTCTAGGTGGAGGAATTGACAGGCGAATTGGGATATTGGGGTAATGGTTAAAAAAATTACCTCTCTTCTCGCACCCAAACTGTATTCACAGATGGTTGGAGGTCAAACAGTGTTAAGATAACAAAAGGGGTTCCACAGGGTTCCATCCTCGGCCCCCTCTTGTTCTCTCTTTATGTCAATGACTTGGGCACTGACCTGGATCATTCCAGGGTAAACCTTTTTGCAGATGACACGATACAGATTACTGCTGGCCGCTCTCCAGATGACGTGATTGGTAAGCTCCAGGGTGATTTTAACAAACTACAACATCAGCTAGTTGCTCTTAAACTAGTCCTGAATACCTCCAAAACCAAGGTGGTATGCTTCTCACCAGGACTAAAGCAGGAAGTTATTTTTCCCCAATTACATTCCTTAAATAATTATCTAATAGAGCAAGTCAAGATCTATAAGTATCTTGGGGTCATCCTTGATTCAAAACTGAATTTTGAAGATCACATTGATTATATTGGTAAAAAGACAAAAATAAAAATTGGTTTTCTGTATCAACACAAGCACTGCTTCCCCCCTATGTTCTGTTTGGAATTGATAAAAGCTACCATACTGCCTCTACTTGATTACTGTGACATCGTATATAAATCAGCCCCCAGTACTGTACTGAAGAAACTTGACTCAATTTATCACTCGGCCTTAAGATTTGCATTGAACTGCCCATATAGGACCCACCACTGCGATCTCTACATTGGGTCAAACGTAACATCTCTTAATGTTCGACGGCTTGTGCACCAGATCTTATTTATTCACGATGTACTTACAAAAAAATCCGCAGACTACCTGCTGGATCTCCTCTCTGTTTCAAAGAACAAATGTGACCTAAGGTCTTCGCTCATTTACCAGCTTCACATTCCTTATTGCCGTCCAAATACTGGAGGAAGGGCCTTTGCTATTGATGCCCCCAGGGTCTGGAATGCTATTGCCAATAAACTGTAACTTGAATCACTACCTATGAGATCTTCGCTCAAAACTGCTCGAGAGGAGTTGTACACCCCTAGCTGCCACTGCTATTCATTGGCCTAAAATCAAATGTTTCGCTCCGGATGACTGCTGCAAAGTATGATCTTGTGTATTGATTTAGTGTGCTGATCTTTAAAGGTCCATTGAAAAATGTTGATACTCCGACTGATGCTCCTGCTGTTGTGGAGTGACTCATGCAGCCAGCTATGGCAACAGGGTTTGGTGGTACATGTTGTTTATGTCGTTTATTGTGAAATTTCGGTCACAGTTCCTATGATCACTGTTACATTGCTTTTATGGCTTTATTTTGGTGATTTCGAAAAGTTTTTTGGTTTGGCCATGTTTGTTTGTTGGAGTACGGAGTTAAACTGATGGCTTTAATCTAAGTTGTCTTGTGGTTGTTGTTGTTTAACTTGCATCCCACTGGGATTTTTGCACACAGCGTTGGTGTACGGTGCTTTTTCTAGAAAGATTTAGCTGTTTTTTACTGGATTTTTATTTTTGCGCATAGTCACTTTAAGATATTTTCTTGTTCATGTCTTTTGTTTGTTGCGGTTGCACCCAATTCAAGAGCCAAATGGCTCACAGGGCTATACCAAATAAATGAAACTGAAACTAATATTCACGGTTTTGGTTTCCCCGCGTGCTTCTCTCGGCAATAGTAACACGGAGCACAAGGACCTGCTGATGGACCTGCAGCAGCTGCCGCACCGCGCGCGGCAGCCGTCCGAATCGGCAGAGCCCTCCGAGTCCGACTCCGACTCCAAAGACAACTCAGGTATCGATCGACCTTCGGGCAAGGTGTGAGAGTCGGGATGGATACGCGTGCCTCGGCAGGAGGGGAGCTCTCCAGGCTCGAAGGCCGCCATCGGTCCCTGTGTCCTCTGCCAACGACTCGCAGTGCCCCTTCCTTTCCGTAAAAATAAATCTGCCCACTGTTTGTGCTCGGCGGCTTGAGATGCGCTCCCGTTCAAGACACTGCTCTATAAATCCAGATTTTATTGTATTTTAGGTGCTGTCGTGGTGGAGATGGCCAGATGGCGCAGAGGTCAGAGGACGAAACCAGCTGAATCCCTGGGTTAGACTCCTAGCAACCGCGTATTTTCATAAACCAGGTCTTCAAATATTTTGATTTGATGGTCTCAGCCCAGTTTTCCATGACTAGAGAAATGAGAAATCATGTTATGTTCGTTTTTGCACTTACTTTGGATAAAAGCCCACTCTGAGAATTCAAAATATCAATCTTACTCTCATACGGTCAACAATCCCATAGCAGAGTGAAGGATATTTCAGTCCTGAGGAAAAATATATATTCTGCAGCCATTCTCTGACACATGGGACACACAGCTCTGCGAGATTTCCAACACATGGATTCTTCTTTGCACCGCACGATGCCTGTAGCAAAACATTGTAATCAATTCAGGGGGATAAAATACCAATTATAATTTATTTCGTGTTTTCAATGTGTTGCCGTTTTCTTTCAGACGAGCATGAATCCATGCATCCGCACAAGCGGCAGAGAAGACAGAGGGAGGAGGACGAGGAGTGGACGAGCCCCCTGTGCCGCAGCCGGTGCCTGGTGGACCCCATCATGACCCAGGGTGAGAGCAGCGGCGCCAGCAGCCAGGGAGAGGACAACGAAGAGGACGACGATGACGAGAAGAACGGGAGAACTTTGGACGGCTCGGACCACGAGGTGGAGAACGGTCATGCGGATGGATACGCGTTGGGCCTGAGCTCCTCCAGCATCAAAGTGGAACAGCTCAGCATGAAGTGCTCAGCCGGCGGGCCCGCAAGAGGCCTCCATGACAAGATGTGCTCAGGTCGCCTGAACGGAAACGACCGGAGCCACCCAGAGCAATCTTCCGCAAAACCGCTCAAGCAGAGGAAACCCAAACGGCGCAAGAGCAAGCGCCTGCTGCAGCAGATGCAGTGCAGCCCGGCGGAGTCGGTCGCTTACGCGTCGTCCCCCGGGCTCTCTTCCCCACACGGGCAGATAAAGACCGAGAAGCCGGAGCACGTACATTTCATCGACGGCAGCGTTTGGGACAGCCCTCTGAACCGAGACATGGCGAGGAACGACCTTCCGTACTGCATCGTGAGCCCCTCGCCCGACGCCCAGCAGCACTTCTTGTCGGCGCAGACGAGCCTCCACGTGGCCATCCCAGACTCGGTGCTCACCCCGCCGGGCCCGGACAGCGCCACCAGCCAGCGCTCCGCCTTCGTGGCGTCGCCGCAGCCCGGCGCCGCCTCCGTGACGCTGGCCGGCTCCGACCCGCTCTCCCCACCGCTCTCGGCCTCCCCGAGGGACGGCAAGCCGGGGCCGGCGCCGTCCAACGTCAGCCCCGCCGCCGCGTACGACGTAAGCCCCGCCACCACGTACGACATGGAGAGCCTCGAGCTCCCCCAGGACGCCTCCTCCTCCGCCGCCGCCGCTGCCGCCGGCACCACGGCCGCGGCGGCCGCCGAGGGCCCCGGCGCACCGTCGCGGGGCGCGTACGCCGGCGGCACCATCCGGTACGCGCCGGCCGACCCGACGCTGGGCGCCGTCGAGGAGGGCGAGGACTCGGACTCGCAGAGCGATGGGCCGACGGGCGACCGGCTGCCCGACATCGGCGATGCCAACTACGGCGGCTTCGAGGCCAAGGCGTCGATGGAGATCCTGTACCAGCGCATGCAGCAGATCGGAGTGCCTACCTCCTTCCCGTCCGTGTCGCCCGGAGGCGGCGGGCAGCAGCACCTGCCGGCCGTGTTCGTGACATCAGACGGTTACCTGGCGAACATCCCGCTGCAGCTGTTCAGCAGTGGCGGTGCGCAGCAGTCGAATGTGCTGGACGACGAGGAGGACTAGGGGAGGGGTGGGCGCGGAGCGGCGTACACGTGGCGGGAGTGTTTACAAGCTTTTTGTTATGAGAGGGGCCCGTATGCTGAATACAGTCGAAGCAAATATATTTTACTCTAAATGATGTGTTACATGGCAGAGAAATTTACGTCAAACTTTCCTGGTTATTGCATAGGTCCATTAACATGTGAAACGTTTAGATGGCCAGTATATTTTCGATATGAGATGAGTTTTATGCTGTTTTAAATGCCGGTGGCAATTTTTAAAGGAAATTCAACTCTATATATATAGTATTTGTGTTCAAAATGGCACTTATATTCCCACAGGTCAAATTACCTAATTACAAGCTCGTTATCATATTTGTCCTCACTGTGTCAGAGGCCTTACACATTCTCTGTGTTCAGGAAGTCCTACCTGGCTATTGGTTCTCACGTTGGACCAGTTGCAGCGTTGCACATTGACAGAATCGAATAGCGTTCGACGGCTGCACCCGAGTAAATGCTCTTTGCACACGAACACCAACACGTCAGCCTGACACGCACGGCCGCAGTTCTGCGTCTGTTCGTCCAGACGCTCTGCATCACAAGCAAATGAAATGCTGCTCATAGGGCACACGTAAACCAATCTCTGCGATTGCCGCATTGCATTTCAAGCTGGGAGCAGCGGTGGAAGGGGGGGGGGGGTTGAACAGTTTTTGGTCCCGCTACCGTATTCTCTCCTCCCGGCTCGGCAGGAGGGATGTGCTGTGAGCTCAAGCCTGCCAAGAGACTGATCCGAAATCTCGAAAATATGCGGGGGTATTCGCCCTCCCGATGACGCACGGCGGACTGGCTTTTCACGAAGCCCTTTCTTCCCACGGCGGCTTGACAAACTAAACAACAAGAACAACAAAAACTATTTCCCGGAACACCTCTGCAGCCACTGTGACTAATACGCCCATGTGCAATGTGTGTGCCGTGTTACGGAGTCGCGGGATCTAGCACAAGTCTGTCGCGTTAGCTTATTGCCGTTTGAATATTTGTGTGTGCCCACTCTTTTTATTGAACGTCGCGTCGCGCACCGCCGACGTGCGTCCGTGTCTCGTGTCACCTGCGTACCCTTACAGTGTTTACCATGTCCGTGCTGTCCGCGCTGTCCGCTTATAGCCGTCATCTCATCCTTGAGTTAATTGCCGGTGGTTTTGTTACGAGAGCCGTTGATGCGTCGAGTCTGTGTGCGTGTACACGAAATCTCGCGGTAGAGATTTGATAATTTCCACCGACTACTGTGTCTGGTTTTGTCTTTCCCGAGGTCGAGTTTCTGGTGTTGTTAAAGAGTACCATGTACTTTGCTGACGACCACCGTTCCTTCAGAAGTAAGATTGTGCAGACGACCAAGGTGGCAGGGCAATGCGCACGCGACGCACACGGCAAAGCATTCTCTTTAAGGGTTCCTCCAGAAAGTTGTGTAAATAAAAACCCAGAGTGGGCAGGGGGAGAAGGAAGGGGTGGTGAGACAATAAAAATATATATATATCAGAGGGGGGACGTTACACGTGAAGGCGCCCACGATTATAATGAGAGCGTTAGTTTTCTTCATCTGCGGAAAGAACCGTCCCGTTGGTGACAGAGAAGGGTTTGACAATCAGCTTGCCAGATGGTGTTCACGTATTTTCCTTTCGCAACAAGCAAATTAATTTCTACTTGTGAAAATTAAATGCTACTCGTATTGGGAAAGTCGCGCACGCACACAAGGCCAATTTCAAACAAGGCCCAACATGTCACACTTGTACATTTTCAACGTGTACAATTTTTCTGAGGCGCTAAAGAAGGGCCTATTGCCGCAACGGGAAATGTTATTTCATTTGTGTAAAATCAACGCTGGAGGTCTCCTTTGTAGAGTGCTGAAAGATTCATCATTGCAGGCCACCGCGGACGATCATCGCGCCGAACAGCGAGTGGCTGCTTCGTTACGCTAATGGGTTGAGTCTCGATCTGAAGAGGACAAAAAAACTGTTCGCGCCTCTTTGTTTACACTTTACTATCCGTTAAGTTTTTTTCCGCAAGCCACTTAATTTTACAGATACAAAGGCGTTTGAACAAGGGGTAATTTTAGTTTTTTTCATTTGCTTTTAAAGGGTGATGACTTGATGTACCGTAATTGTTTATTGTTTGAAAGATAATGTGGTAGCTGGTAACGTTTTTTTAATTTATAACTGACTTCGTTGTGTTACAATTGTACATAAGTGGTTGGTTCAGTCGGACTGCTTTGTTTTAAGGTGCCACGTCTACACACAATGTACAAATCTTACTCAGTCAAACTGAGGCTAATATTCATTCAGCTTGTTAGAGAGGGAACAAAAGATGTACATTTATAAATGTTTCTGGTTTTTGTAAGCACACTTAAATTTAACAATTGAGGTAACATTTTCGTAATTGTCTTTGTATGGGTCTGTCTGCTGGCGATCAGTATTTTAAAAAACAACGACGAAAAACTAAAAAAAAATGTGAAGTTATTTTTAAGTGCATGTATGGAGTCTGTGTTCCGCATGTCAGCAAAAAAATGTGAAATAAAATATTGTACAGACTGCGAACCGTGTCCACTCTTCGCGGCGCGTGCTCGACTTCCAGGGCCGCGGCGCGTCGGACGAGAGACGAGAGGTTAAACCGTGAGGGGAATTGCCCAATTATTGCCGTGGCTTGAGATCATTAGCGCACGAGGCCAAAACCACTGCTTGGTGGCCAGGAGGTGGACGTCGATTGAAAGTGAGCAAAACCCAAAAGGCCACAGGGTATCTGACAAAAGCGTTCCCGAAGTACGGTTCAACCCCACGGGTATTTTGTTTGGCGATGATCACGTGAAGCAGGCTGGCCGCGTTTCCATCCCACTGCCTGACGGTGCCTTCTGAACGTTGCATGCCTCCTCCCCATCCTCCTCCTCCTGCCAGTGACTGATTTAACCAATCATTCACGATGACGTGGAGGAGCCGAGGCAGACAAATCTGACCATAACCCCAATCCTTGCCAAAGCTCCTTAGCCAAACTTTCACATTACCAAGGTGAGTGTAAGTCAAGCATGACTTTGTACTTTAAACCCTTCAATCACATGGCACATTTGCACAAAAAAGCCCCTACATTTTTACTTTTACATTTTTATATCCGTTTCACATACGCGATACATCCATGATGATTTGTTTAAAAAGAAAAATTTACGTGCAACGGATTGTAAAAAAGAAGAGAGAACAACGTTGCAGGTGAGTAGCAAATAGTGACGCTTACGACTTCATAGTTTGCTTCACGAATTAATCCCCTGCCACTGCGATAACAAAACGGAGTATTATTCCGCTTTAATGCCGCCCGTTATTTCCACATCACAGCTGCTGCACACGATCGCCTTTAATTCGGGTAATTTAACCGCGCCTACGGTTTGTGATGGACTGACTAGCAGGTGATTACAATCACCGCTGAAAGAGGGTCAAATTTGTTAGAGCCGCGACAGTGAATGACCTCAAAGCCACTTGGCACGATTTCGTGCATCAGATGCCGAGCTGCTGCTGCTGCTGCTTTAGCCTCCAATCACGCGCACCTTGGAACCGTGTCTGAAATGCTGAATGGTGATTTTCAAAAACCGATCTTACTCCCGATTATTTGCCGCTCGTGTGTTTTGACTTTTAAGTAAACAGCGGTTTAATATATAAATTTTGGGTAATTACCCTTGCAGCTTTTGTTTATTACATGTAATTATGCTAATTATTTTCTCGCCTGCAATTGGGCACACCTGAATGTGCCTTAATTAAGCTGTCTAATGAGCCATGTGGGGATGAATTAGGCGTAGGTTAGCTGGGGAAAGCCACGGAGCATCCGCGCTGTGTGTTTGATCCCTTCCCGACCACATGTGCAACCGTACCCCCCTCCTCCCCTCCCCCCCCAAAAAAAAAAACTTTTAATTAGCTTCAAAAATTAGCTGCCTTGATGTTGAAATGAATTTTAAGGTTTCCAAAATGTCAATTTAATGATACAACAGACTGGGAAACTTTTTTCAGAGTAATTTCCCCGACGCTGCAGGTAAAATTCGAATCTCATTTTAATTGTGCTATACATAATGCGTATTTGCTGAGAAAGCGGAGGCAGAATGAGCATATTTCCTCTATTTATACTAATTTTTATTTAATGGGTTCATCAGCGTGATTGGTAATTGTCATCGGCTGGCTGAGGCTGCTCTCAGCGAACCTTGGTGTTTGAGCGACGCACTCCGCCGTCTCTCGATCTCCGCGCTGCCTCTCCAACCGTTCGCCTCAAGACATCGCGCGGTCATTTATAATTCGTCATGCACATTAAAAAGTTGCCCATTTATGGGAAATGTTGCCTTATTTCTTGTTAACTTTGAGATACATAACAGTTAGCGCTGGAAAACACTGCCATATGCCGCGCCTCGCACAGAAGATGCGTTCGTCACAATGACTCCCAAAGGCTTGTGGCTGTGTATGCCTCTGTTCTAAGAGCCTGCGATCAAAGCACGGTCACCGATAAGTAAGTCCGCCCCCCCCCCCCCCCGCCGCCCACTGAAGTTTGTCGTGATGCTATCATTGATCGGCATGCATGAGTAGGGCCAAGACGAAGTTTCAGAACCCGTCAGTGGGTGCGACGGCCACCACGCGCCGGCACGAGGAGCCGCCGGCCGTGCAAGGGGTCGACACGCTCACCTCGGCAGCGGCGGCGGTGTGGCGGCTCCGCGTCGACCCGACGCTGAGATCCGAGAGGGCAGACTCGGCTCTCGGCGCCAAGCTACGCACCTACGAACGCGTGCATCCCCTACCAGTTTGCGCTTCATTGCTCAGGAGACCTGCAGAGGCACGGTGGGCATCCGACGTGAATGCGTCTGATGTGCGCTGTCGATGGCACATCCTTGGGATCGCGTGGTCTGATTTCATCACAAATGTCACCGTGACGTCCCGCGCTGGTCTCGCCCACATGGAGGAAAGCCTCCTCATCCGACACCGCCGTCTGGGCCTATTCGGGCCACGCAGCTTGTCTGTAAGCAGGCGATGTGGCTCAACCTCGCCCTACACGGTGAGGGTCCAAGATCAGATCCTGGATCGAAACCCGATCCTACGTGGGCTCACTTGGAGCTCGCGGATCGTCGCGTTCGACGATGACGCGGGCCGTGCCTATCCAGGAGGGCCCGGCTAGGGGACTACGGATCTTGGCGACACCTGGAGGAACACTCCCAAACGGCCCATTGATGGCCTTGCGAATGCCACTGCTAGTGGGGACATTAACTGAAGTGCCTAAGCGCAGCTTAGATAAAATACACACGTGTGAAATACCAGGCAGTGCAGCCCTATTATTTCTGTGCACACAGCGGCCCAACGCACACAATCTACTCGTGCAATTCAAGAGAGCTCACATCGAAGCGGAACACGCGGGAAGGATCGGCCTTCAACGAGCGCTGCTGCAGCCACTTTCAGCCTCAAGAGGCCCTTTGCTGTTCAAACAAATTCACCATTTGTTGGTACCAAGGCCAGAGCAGCCAGTAGCAAGCACCTGTGTTTGCAATTTTCTCTCATCCACCATCCATCGCCACTCACAATTTCCCCTGACTGAATCAGAATTTTTATTTTATTTATTTATGGTTGTTTCAGCAGGAAAGCATCATTGAGCCTCAAGACACTTTATCAGGAGGGTCCTGCCAAGTGTTTGCAGCTAGACCGCTGTAGCTGCTGTGCGATAACTCAATTGGGTACTTGCAGGTAATTTTCAGCATTTGGGATGTTTTACCAACACCGTTTAAAATGAATTGCCACGTAAGGTAAACCAGAGAGCCTGGAGGAAGAATGCGCGCAGAACAGGGAGAGAACGTGCAAACTGCACCCATTACACATATATACTGGACCGTATTTTCTGGATCATAATGCACGCAACGTTTCCCCAGTGTTATAAAGCGAATGTTGGGACCGAGTCTTACAATGCAGAGAATATAGCGTTGTGTTTGCTTTCAGACACGTGGAAGCATGAGAGGTTTATCTTGAGGCAAAGGACAAACATAAAACTGGAAATCTGGGAACATTAAAAATGCATTGTGTTGTTGTAGGAACCGTATGGGTAAATAAATAAATAAGCATCACTTCATCTCTCCACATATCTCACTCCGCTGATGAGACCTAATCGGTCATGGCCGGTGCAGAGTTTGCTTGTTTTAAACGAATTCTGCAGGGTAATATTGGTCCGGGAAGCCAAAAGGATGATGGACTAAACCTATATTTTGCAGATAAACGAACATATGTCTGTTTATGGGAATGTAACCTTGAATGATTGGCGAATAACGTTGTTTCTTTTGTATAACAAGTAAGTATGAATGCAGCCAGCAAAATGTTTGCCTCGCTTTATGCAGGTTCCGTTCGTGCGTTTCAACGGAAATGCGGTAATTCTATTTTTACCCAAAATTCGCTGCATGCGGTTTGAATTCACTGATATGTCTCGTGCGGTTTCGCTTTGTGCGCCTTCTTTATAAAGCGGAAGAGGGCACACCTAATTTAAGCAAATATCAGCTACACGTAATTTCGTGGAAAATTGTACAGAACGATTGTGTCAGCACCAAAGTCCGCTTTGGGGTGAACGTAACACAAAGAGTCGAAAAACAGACTTTCATCTTCAGAATCCAGCCGGTCCTGATCCGGAAACCTCATCACAAGCAGGGCTACACCTGACCGGCAATGCAACAGCAGTATCCGCCTGTGCAAGGTTGTAAGGGGTATTCGTGATCCGCTGTGCTTTTAGTCTTCGTCTATCGCCGGGTCGGCCACACCGGGTGTGGTGAATGAGCAGACATCACCCTGGGGTATTGGTAGCATTTCATTTAGCACAAGCCAAATGATGGGACCTCTCTTGGCACCTTTCAGCTGCGACAATGTGGCCTGTGCCACCATCTGGCAGACGCCCTACGGCCACGGATTTTACCGTCGGCTTGAGGTGGCCTCTGGCCCGGGAACCTCTCGAGTGGAGCCGTTCTCTTGCCCCCCCCCCCCCTCCGCGTCCCCACCAGGGCGCCACGTGACGAGTAACGCGACAACAACAACATCGCTTCAAGTCGACCGCGGCCACGAGGTTCCATCGGAATCGTGAACCGTGCGAAAATGTGGACAGATCGAATGAGTGATGGGTTGAGTTCGACGCGACATTTTTTTTTTCTGGACGCACAAAGCTAGTCTTGCGGCCCAGATGGCATTTGTTGATATTTGTAACTTTTTTTCTTGCTTGTGCTGCGTTTAATATATATTAAAATAATCGTTTCAAACGCCACAGTGAGCTCTGCCGATAACGCGAATTAGGTCGGATAAAACTCCCGCTTCTTCTGACAATCAGATATCAATTTTCACCCCCTACCCCAATAAACTTGCTGGTAAGTCGCCAACCAATGTTGATCCCCACTGGGGATGCGTGGCGTTGTCTTTGCATTGGTACCGAGCCAATGCAAGGCACGGCAAAAAAACATGCGCAGTTGCTCGGATCAGTCCTGTATGAGGCACCGGTGCTAAACGTTAGCACAGCGTAGCCACGAGGGGCACGTTTGTATCATTATCCCCAGTAGGGATTT